TATATATATATATATATATATATATATATATATATATATATATATATATATAGATACACACAGTATAATTTGATCTAATTTATACATAACTGAGGAAATATATACAATACCTATTATTCCTAACGGAGTATTACTTGCTAGAGGGACAATTGACTCAAATTTCACTCACTTTTCAGGGCGTCCTCATCACGGACGTGGAGGAAGGGCAGCCTTGTTTACAGTGCGGGGAAATGTGTCCCGGATTTTCGCCGCACGCTTGGAGGTGAGTGGTCTCAGATTTAAGCGTAAACAATGGTAACTTCAATTAAGTATAATGACGCCCCTGAGAATTCAATCTTCAAGGCTGCGTCACACGGCGAGACGCGTCTCTCACGCGTCAATTCCCGCGTTTCCGTCATCGCGCAAACGCCGCTCTGAGTCGCGTCCGAATTGCGCGAATCGCGCTCGCGAGGGATCGCGCGTTGAAGACCGATCGTACTCGCGTTTATCGCGTTATCGCGGAATTAATTCCGCCGATCTGCGATCTACGGGACGCGCGGAGAAAGGTCGGGCTCGGTGTCGATCGGCGAAATCGGATTGCCGAATCACGCTGAAACTGTTAGGCGAGGAGCAGCACGATGTATCCATTACCCCGGCAGCGTAACTGAGCAGCGGCTGAAATTACCGCTCGGTAATTACCCGCCGTGACTTACGGCCCAGCAATGCGGTAATAGCGTATTAATTGCCCGGGGCAGAGGTAGAGAGAGGGGCGGGCGAGGGGGGCGAAGGGGAGAGGAGGGGGACAGCGCGGAGGCGGGGCCGCCTTCCAGCATCTTTCCGCTGCGAGGAGAAAGGCGGACCCGCCGTCGTGTAGTGCATTTATGGCATGGAGATGGATTCACAGTTATATCCCGCCTAAGGACAAGCCGAAGCACGGAGGAGATCGTGTGCGCCGTGCGGTGATCCCCGCGATAATCGACGACGAGGTATTCGTCGCGGATCCGCGGACAGACGCTGCACCCTCTATTGTTGCGATTGTGACTGTGGGGGAATATCGAAGAAATTGTCCTTTGTAACATTTCTCAAAGATAAGACGCACTTGTATGTTTTTTAATCAAATGCGAAGGGCTGATTATAAGAGCTGAGCATAATAATAATGACAATAACATGACAGTAATAATAATAACAGTCGAATCACTTCCAATAGGTTTTCATGATCATCACGACATGAAACAATCGGCAGTGGGAACTGTAGAAATGTTTAATTACACTTATTAGGCAAATGTATATTGAATTAAACATTAAATTTTTATATCCGATTCAATGAGAAATATCGGTTCAGAATTTTTTTATCGGTTTATCTGATAAGATGCCATTATGATCGGGAGTATTCGATTAAATTTAATCGGATATCCTGACCGTATATAAAAATTCATCAGTATATTGATTGGAAATATCCGTTTGTTAATTTTTTATTGGATTTTCTCTCGATGTATTTACCGAAAATTATTTTTATTTTCATTTTTTTGAAGCTCCACGAAATTGTCCGTTTGCTACTGATTTGAAACGCAAAAAGGAGCTTAATTATCATATTAATAATTAATTCAGCACATAATAATTTTTAAGAATTTATAAACATTAGAGAATTAAGAACGAAAGTGGGAGCAAAATTTCGATTTGGGATGTGAACTCGACGCAAACGCAGTACTCACGATTAATTAACATACCAGTCTTCGGTTTCTCTTATTTCGAGTACATGTTTCCTTAACGATTGCGGCCTTACATATCCAAATATTCTCTCACGCATCGCTCTCAGCGTGTAAATATTTCCAGTCGCTTTCATTCGTGTCAACGTCGAAGAGGGTTCGAATTAAAGGCCGAAACGTTCGTCTGTTAATTGTTTATACATCGTTTGTCGCGTTTAAACACGATTTAATTTATTATACTCTGGTACTTGAGGTTTCCGTAGGAAAGTGTATAATAAATATTCATTTTGGTTTCCGATTTAGCACTGCTTCCTTTATGAGTTTGTTTCCGATATTTCGTCAATTTTTCAGTTCGCTTAATCAGAGAGGAAAGCAAACTGATTCAGTATCAGGTTGCCTTCCTGATAAAGTGAATATTCACCAAACGTCAGAAACAAATTCATAAAGGTCGGAAAAATTCATATAGCACTAAATTGGAAACCAAAATGAATATTTATTATACACTATCTCGAAACAAAATACCAGTTTAACATTAGTTTGTTCCGTCACTTTCACGTCACAACACTATTTCGTTGTCACACTAACATGTTATCATGCTACTATAAGAGAGTTAATCACTTGAACTTATTAATGTGTGTGTGCACGCTCGCAAAATATGAGAAACACACTGATTGTGTTTGGGTAATTAACTCACGACTCGCTCGTGTAGCGAAATTCCTTTATAATGCTGGATTGTTTGGGGACGTTAAGGACAACTAACTCACGGCCAGCCGAAATCGCATATATAGGCGGATTTCGATTGTTTACAATAAAATTATAAACAATGTGAAAGGAAGAAACGAGGTATAGGAACATATTAACAAAAAAGAAAAAACGCGTGTCAATACAATGATCTCTGAATGTGAGTGCGTGATGTAAAGTCTTGCCAAATAACATTCATTCTGCAAATCTTCTCTCTTTCTTTCAAACTCAAGAGACTGATGAAGAATCTCAAGAAACAATATTTATTTATCATAATAAATATTGAGATAATATTTGTTATCCTATATTGTTATATTGCATCTGTTCTTTTTACAAAATGTCCCAAAATGTCTCAGAACAACTTTCGAAGTTCTCGTGGAGGAATAGTATATTGTAAAAACTGATGTGTTAAATTTAACACATTTCATGCGTCCCAAATCATCCACTCTCATTTATATATAAATTTAACAATTAAAACAAATGTGTTAAGAAGTAACACGCATAATATGGAAAAAATTAACACAAGAATTTATAACATTTGAATACCGTTAAGAATCACAGGTTGTTAAATTGACATATTTAATATGTCAGACATAAATTATGTCAATTTAACACAAACTGTGATTCCTGACGGTATTCAAGTGTTAAATTCTTGTGTTAATTTTTTATATATTATGCATGTTACTTTTTACCACATTTGTTTTGTGTTAAATTTAAACATAAATAAGAGTGGATGATTTGGGACACATGAAATGTTAAATTTAATACATGTTTTTACAGTGTATGGATTGAGGTGAACACCAAAATTCTATATTATTTTGCAATATTCGCAATAATTATTAAGATATTAAGGAAGATTTGTAAATGATCACACGAGATATGGTAGATGAGTTATAGTGACGAAATCTGCTGTCGTGCGCTTGTAAAAAATTAGATCAAACTGAACAAAAAAGTCCTCTACCTTTTTCTTAATAACTATGTAGATTTTTAGTTATTAATTAGAGAATTAATATATTATCGCGAGCGACTATCCGCTAAACTTCTTTATATATAATTAATAATTAAAAATCTACACAGTTATTAGAAAAATGACAGAGGACTTTTTTGTTTAGTTTGACTTAATGTACAATCGCCACTACAGTTCATCTATCATATCTCGCGTGATCCATAAATCTTATTTAATTAATATCTTGATAATTTGCGAATTATTGCGAATATCAGAAAATAGTATAGGATTTTTATGTTCACCTCAATCCGTACTATACCTCCACAAAAACTTCGAAGATTGTTCTGCACATTCTGCATATATATCAAATTTAATGTATAAAGAGTATATTAATTATATACAACTTACTTAATTGTGAAGAAAAGCGAAATCGAAATAAATTAAAATGGTCCTTAGATATAAAATCTAATTAAGATAAAATAACGTGTAAAAGCCTAGGCATAGACGTAAAAGTGCAAACAAATCTTTCAATGGTCTTACAATATATTACAATTATTACGAATGCTCTATTTATAAAAACAAGATTACTGAAGAGGATCTAAAACAGGTCGAAACGTATAATTTGTAATATATTGTGAGATTATTAAAAAATTTGTTTGCACTTTTACCTGTACGCCTAGGCTCTTTTACGCCTAGGCTCTTACATGCTATTTTCTCATTTTATTTTAATTTAATTGCGAAGGCAGCATATATGAGATATAAATCTCATATAATGCTCATATAAATATTTATCATTTGTGCGTTGCACTGTGAAGGGAAATGGACAACTGATCACTCCTTAGCGAGCGTGTGTGGCGTGAAAAAATTCCTTCAGCATCCGAAAAAGCGCGTTGCGCCTGGGATTTACAGTTAGAGCTGTGTGTTACGCGGAAACGCTCGTTAAAGTCGCGCGAAGGGGAAGAAGGACGAGCGCGGCCGGTCGCGGGAGCGTAAAGTCGATGACGAATCGACGCTGTGTCTTGGGCATCGCGCCCCACGTCCCGCGCCCGTCGGGAATTAGTCTCGTCAGGCGTGAAAAAGAACAACAGGCCGGTACGCGAGCGAGCGAACGAGCGATTATTACAGCCGAGGTCGTAATACGTACGACAGGACACGCGCTATAAAAATAAATCGCCGACATTTACGGGCGACGCGGTGCTCTTTCCGAAGAGGTCTGTTTTCCTCGCGCGCGCGCGCCTCGCCTCCTCAACTGAGAATGATTAATAACTGCCGATCGCCGCGGCCACAGGAACTTAGAATAAGCAACCGTTGCATAATCCCCGGTGCTCGAGCAAATCATTGGCGATTATCTTCATCCTGCGGCAGTCAGTAGCGCGATAGCAAAACGAGCGAGAGAGCATCGAGCCATGTTCGCTTTGTTTATTTATTTGTTACGTACATTGAGAAAAAATTTATGATATTTTGAACTATAATGGCATAGTAAAAAGATTATAGTTAGGGATATCATTTTTATAGTAAATGTCACCATAATGTTTGTAATAATTATAATATAAGCATAGTATAACTGACCCATGTAAAACTTTTACCGAGAATTATAATTATTTGAAGTAAAAAATATAGTAAGGTAGCAAATATTGAATGGTAAGAGAAATTAACTATTTTATATAGGCAATACAATTGGAATATTTGGCAAATATAGGTACATGTAACTATATTCCCAAAGTGTGCTTTACTATACACATAGAGTAATAAAATAGTGACTATAAATCTTTGTTCATTCTGCTATATCTTCATGTTCAGATGAACTATAAATATATGTTTGAGGCCAAAATAAACTATAAAATATAGTGAGGTTATAGTTATTCCAACTATTTTTTCTCTCAATGTAAAACTGAGGCGATTAGATTTCCCAATTCACTTCATAAATGTGTACAGCGAGAGGAGGGGGGAATTAATGAAAAGTTTACGCATATATATAAAACAGTATTTTACTTATAGACATATGAAAAATGATTTAACAATAATAAAGGCCTACATTGAGAGAAAAATGTATGATATTTGGAACTATAATGACATAGTAGAAAGATTGTAGTTAGGAATATCATTTTTATAGTAAATATCACCATAATGTTTGTAATATTTACAATATAAGCATAGTATAACTGACCCATATAAAACTTTTATCAAGAATTATAATTATTTGAAATAAAAAATATAGTAAGGTAGCAAATATTGAACGGTAAGAGGAATTAACTATTTTATATAGTCAATACAATTGGAATATTTCGCAAATATAGGTACATGTGACTATATTCCCAAAGTGTGCTTTACTATACACATAGAATAATAAGATAGTGACTATAAATCTGTTTATTTTGCTATATCTTCATGTTTAGATAAACTATAAATATATGTTTGAGGCTAAAACAAACTATAAAATATAATGAGGTTATAGTTATTCCAACTATTTTTCTCTCTCAGTGTACTATATATATCCAGTGAAAATAGAAACTATTGCTGATATATAAAACTGTTACTGTTCTTATTTAAAACTAAGAAACAGTAGGAAGGCTACTGTGTTTACTAGAGCTGTGAATTTTCTTAAGGAGCTATTTCTTTGTCAAAAATATTTTAAAAATCCTCTGAACTGGGATAAACCGAGACAGTTCAACTTAAGGTAAATCAGATATTATTTGAAAAAATCTAGGACCAAGGGAAAAATCGGGACTGTTCCGGGAAAAGCAGGACGTTTGGTTATCTTAGTACTTAGTAAAACGCTTTGTTTATCTATTTATCATAAAAGTAACGGTGGAAAAGAGACCGCGAAATGATTCTTTTAGAATATACTCGTGTAGAAATTTAAAACGGGAACTAAAAAGGGCCTCGATAGTTTTTGTAACAACGTGGAGTTACCATTACGAAGTAAATAGGATTTCTTTATCATAATCTTCTGATTTTATTTATTATATTTCTGGGTATTCCCAAGCAATTTTTCACTAATGTATTTAAAGCTTTGTTCGTGTAGTTTATTTTAAAAAAATACAAAAATTTGCGAGTTTTAAGAGAAAATGGGCGATGTGTAGTTCGATCAACCTTTTAAAATATAGAGAATGTAAAATTCCAAGTAGAGAGAGAAAGAGAGCGAGAAGAATTACAAAAATTAATCTAATGACATCGAATTTTCATCAGAATCTGATATGCAACTATTAAACTAGTTTGTTCTAATTAAAATACATTGTAAATCTCAACTTAAAGCATTCGATTTGAAATGTCGGCTAGGAATATTTCAGAATCTTACATTGCGCGTCGTCTTTATTTTCCCCTTTTATTACTTTAACACGCGTCGAACTCTTGTGTCAAAGTTGCAGTGAGTTCAGCGTGGGACTCGGCTGAGTAAATAAACTGTTGCGCGTTATAACGTGTGTTCCGAAATAAGTAACGGCCTCGCGACGGTCCGGTCGCGACTCAATAACATACGCAATAAAGTTGCGCGCCGGCGAGCTCTCTCGCGTGTCTCTTCGGCCGTCTCCCGTTACACGAGGAGAGAGCAGACGCAGAAAAATAATTTTGCTCTTTTAGCAAAATCGTCGTTGCTACTGCATATTCGTAATAACATCAAAAAAATTTTGTTGACGTAACTTTACAAATTATTCGTTATCAGAGCAAAAGTAATCTCGTTGCCAAGATAGAAAAAATTTGTTGAATGTATTTGTCTTAAGAATCATGTTAATTTGTTATTGATGCAAAATAATATACCTTTAGCAAATTTATTTTCTATCGGAGCAAAACTGCAACTGCTTATATAAATCCATCGTGGTTCTTATAGCAAAATAATTTATAGATTCAACAAAAAGTGATTATTACTCTTAGCAAATCTTTTCGCTGTCTATATAATAACGAAAAGATTTTGCTAGACCAGCAAAAAATTTGCTGGGCCAGCAAATTATTTTTCTCCGTGTATAGGATTCATACACAGAGAACTTCATACACAAAAAGAACGAACTATTGAATCAAATAAATGTTTCTCTGGAATAGTCTATTCTTAAGAATCA